CCCCAAAACCCCAAAACCCCAAAACCCCAAAACCCCTTAAAATTCTATAGATATTGAACATATTTTTGAGAATTACAGATCTTTCAGTATATCTTGTAGGAGTTTATACCTAGCATTTTCATTCCTAATGTTCTTCATAGCTTCAGTCTGGTTGTACAGAAGATCATCCCTCTCCATTTGCTTATCCCAGTTAATATATGCTCCATTCTTGTTATAACTGGTTGCTTTTAGTCCTGTATGAAGCTTTTCATTGTCAAGGTCATTCTTGATATTATCAGTCCTGAAATAGATCGAATTGATATGGCTCCGCTCCATCATCTTATTAAACCTTGGAGAAGAAACTTTCTTGATGTTCAGTTCAAAACTTTTAGCTATGTCATAATCAGTGTGGTTCTTGGAGCCAGGATCCTTCTTCACCCATAATTTGTTAAGATAGTCTGATCTTGGTGGCGCCTTGTTCATATCAAAAATTGGGACCTTCCTGACTACCTCTTTGATATCAAGTTTGTTAAAGCAAGGATTTGAGTGCTTGATTTCTGAAGAGGCATATTTTGGGCTGATGTATTGTTTCTTACTCATCCTTTCAAAATTTAATAGACCTCCTTTGTTGGAATTTAGATCTGAAATTCCAGAAACATCAATGAATTTATCAGCATTGGAAATGACCAAATGATATTCTTTACTCGGAGTAGCCAATCAGTGAGAAGGAGATCTGCGTTTGAAATGTCTGACTCTTGAAGCTATATAGATGTTTAATCACGTGGAAAATACTGCTAGCTTTTGATCCGCCTCTCTTCTTGCAAGAGGTATGAATATTTTCTTCTATAGAAATTTTTCTTGTCCCTGATTTTGCTCATAAACTGATCTGTTTGCCCCTAAAACTTACACAGAGGGATTACATTGCTTCTTAGGGCTGGAATTCAATGCTTTAACGACTTTCTCTCAGATAGGAGAATGCTCAGTAGAGGCATGAAGCCTCTTATGAATCTTTGCCCCAATCTTACCAAAGCTGGCTCCTAAGACTTTTTTCTCTGTAGAATTATATTTTAGATTATATTTCCCAGGCATTGTTGAATTCAGTTGTTTCTGAACTCTTTGAAAATTTGCCTCTCTTGGTTCAGAGACAAAGCTTGAAGTGAGCTTAGACTTTCTAAAACGAAATGGCTTGGACTGGCTCCTAAGCTTGACTAAATGTTCAACTAAAGCACATACATTTCGATGGTGATTGCTTATCTGCAACTATCGATGCTTGGTCATGGCTAATATTATCATCTCCTAAACCCATCAGAACCAGAGTTATCAAACGAAACGTTACCTTCATCGTGCTGACTATAAGAGATAAACCATGTAATAAATTACTTTTGTGATTGGGAACGATGCCAGAGACCCATCCGTTGGCACATCTGTTCAACATGGCCAGTTGGCTTTGCATGATAATTGTCCTCCTCTTCTTGATCTTTCTCTACTATTTTGGATATTAGGAAGAGGGTTTAGCAAAAGAATTAGAGTTAGTTACGTTGTTTAAAGATCGTATGCATTTTTGATTTCCCACTGCGGGAAAAGAGGGTGTCTGATTTGTTGTTGGGAGGGAATACGCTTTGGATCATTGTTTTATTTAGAAATTTTATAAAATCAATTTTAGAGATAAAATAGGGGTTTTGGGGTTTTGGGGTTTTGGGGTTTTGGGGTTTTGGGG